TTTGAGGACAAATTTTTTAAGGAAAATTAAAAAAAAAAAATTACAATTTTATTCCTTGTAAAATTTCAAGTACGAAAAAAAAAAAAAAAGATGGACGATTATGTGATTCATAAAAATTAGGATAGGACCGGATGTGATGTAGAAATATATTAATTATTTATGAAATGTCACCTTTCCTAATATTGATTTGAACTTTTTATTTTTTTTAAATAATAAATATCGAAAGACGGATTAATTAATTTGATTTGTTTTTTTTTTTTTTTTCCTACTTCCTTCTCTACCTTTCTCTCCCCTCCCTATCCCTATCCCTCCACCTCCCACCCCTTCCCCTACCTAACCCAATCCATCGCCTTTTTGTTTATTATTTATGCCTTAAGTGATAAAAAAAAAAAAAAATTATAAAAACGTTTTTAAATAAACTTGAACCGAATGAATAAATAATTAAAATGTATTTTTTTTTTTTTAAATTTTTCTTTACCCCTGACATTTTTAACATATGCAATTTTTATTACTTTCAGGTAATGCAAATTGAATAAGTGAGACCTTCCGTAACAATCGTTAAAATTTTATAATTTTGCAACAATAACGATTCGCCGCGAGTTACGCAAAAAAAAAAAAATTTCTTTTTTATGACGTCATAATAATTCATTTTCCAAATTACGAATAATAATAATAATAATAATAAATAAAATTAATGACGATATTATTATTATTATTATTATTATTATTATTATTATTATTATTATTATTATTATTATTATTATTATTATTAATAAAATAAGTTTTAAAAATTATGTTTAAAATTGAAAAAGAAAAAAAAAAAAAAAATTCCCCTGACGTTATTTATTATAAATAAATTTATTAAATATGTTATTATTATTATTATTTTTTTTTTAAATTCTCCGCGGGTTATTTTTCATTTAACTTAAGTCGGAATTAATGGCGGGGGAATGGCGGGGCGGGGGTGGCGAGAAAACGCGGCGCGAAGATATTTTTTGTTAGGGGGGTCGTCTCCATTTAAAAAAAAAAAAAAAAAATTTTGTTAAAAACTTTATCCATTGAAAATAAATAAGCCGGCCCTCCCCCTTCCCTTCTCGCCCCTCCCCTTCCCTTTTCTTCCCTCCCCTACTCCATCCCCTCCCTGCCCCCCCCGATCATTTTTTAAACGAGAAAATTTACAAAAGGAAAACATTTATTTTACTTAAAATCTTTCAGTTTCGCATGAAATTAAATAACCGTTAAGACTCTCACGTTTTTACTTTTTTTTTTTTTTTTTTCAAAGTTTAATTTTCTTCTGCTTTTTTTCCATCATTATTATTATTATTATTATTATTATTATTTTCCGTAACTATTTTGCGTGTGGAATTTAAATCCCTTCGAATTTTTCATTTTTTTTCTTAATAATTAAATATTAAATTACTTTTTTAAATCAATTTTAACAATTTTTTAAAAAAAATTAAAAATGGCGGAAATAATGGGAAATTAATTTTTCCTTACGAGAAACAAAAAAAAAAAAAAGAAAACCCGATTAACGAAACTTTTAAAATTTCCCCAAATAGAAAATAATAATAATAATAACAACAACAACAACAATAATAATAATAATAATAATAATAATAATAATGATTAATTAATGAATTCAAAACAGACAAAAAAAAATTTTTTTTTTTTTTTTTTTTTTTTCTGTTCCCCATTATTCCTTCTAATTTGCCAAACAAAAAAAAGGGAAAGAATTTTAAAAAAAACCCAGGACATCGTTAATACATATTAATGATTGCAAAAAAAAAAAAAATTAACCGGATACAAGGAATAAATTAACAAAAAAAAAAAAAAAACTCCGGGAAAAAGGAAGAAAAAAAAAAAAAAAAGAAAATCGGCCATAAGAGAGGAGGGGGGGATACGAAAAAAAAAAAAAAATTGAGGAGAAGGATGAACAAATGTATGGGGGTTCATCCTTTACAAAAAATTTGCATTCGTTTTTTTTTTTTATACGTCGTTGCAAAAATAATAACAAAAAAAAATTTAAAGTATTCAGTTTAATCGTGTCGTTTACGTTTTCATAAACGGGTATTTGATTAAAACAAAAAATCGATTTTTTTTTTTTTTGTATCGAACGATCATCGATCGATCGATTTATCTCGATCGCGAAATTAATTTTTTGTTTTTTTTTTTCTCCGTCGTCAACCATATTGCAAATGACATCTTAATTATTTTTATTTTTTTTTTATTTTAATTTACGTTAAAATTATTCGTTGAGTATTATTATTAACGAACTTTTTGTTTTCGTCATCATCATCATCATTATCATCGTCGAGTTAAACATTTAATTTTGTAAAATTAAAAAAAAAAAAAAAAAAGTTTTGGAAAAATTAAAAATGTTTACCGTTAACGGAAACGGAGTCGTTCAATTCGAAAAAGAAATACCGGAAAGTACTTATTTTCAGGACCGTATATTACGTAGTAAATTAAGTGATAAAACATTTTCCGATTCCGACGGTAAGTTTTTCATTATTATTATTATTATTATTATTATTATTATTATTATTATTATTATTATTATTATTATTATTATTATTATTATTATTATTTTCCCTCTCTTTTTTTTTTTTTTTAAAAATTAGTATCGACGTGTTTTGAAAAAAAAAAAAAAAAATTGTATTGCTTACCTTATGGTGGTGATAATGATGCGGTGACGTCATCGTTCGGTGACGTAGGTGTAAAAATAAATTTTCATTCAGGTCGTTCGTTTAATATAAAAAAAACCTGAAACCAAAAAAAATAATAATATAATTTTGGTCAATAATAATCTTATCGGAATTGTGTTCGTGTGCCCTCGCAATTCAGGGGTGCCAATTATTTCCAAAAAAAAAAAAAAATTTTGAAAGAACGTTTTTGAATTTATTATAAAATTTTTTTTTTTTTTATGCAAAGACAAAATTTTTTTTATTTAATTATTAACAAATGAGTTTTAAAAAAAAAAAAAAAACAAAATGGAGGGGAGAGAGTGGGGGGGGAAATGTTAGTTCGCACACATGACCTCTGGTGTACCTTTTAACCTTTGACCAACCATCAACATGATTCCTTATTATTTATTCATTAATTTCATATACTGCAATGACCTTGTTAACAAAATTTAAACGCGGTTATGTTTTTATTCGAAAGAAACCTTCGAAAAAAAAATAGAAGAAAAGAGGAATAACCTTAACGGAAAATCTCGGGAAAACCTTTTCCCTAATTCACACCCTTCCCTCCCCTTAAATAAAAATTATTATTTACATTTCGAAATAATAATTTCGCGGTTTTTTTTTTTCTTTCTTAGCTTACGGTAATGAATTTTCCCAAATGAAAATATTTTAAATTTTGTTCGAATAAAACATCAGAAAAATGATCGTCGTTTTTTCCTTTTTCTATTTTCCTCTTTTATTTCTTTTTTTTTTTTTTACCTCCCCCCTCCTCCTCCTCCCCCCTCCCCCTTCCTTTTTTTGTTTATTTAAAACCTGTGAAAAAGAATTTGTTTCGTTTCAAAATGAAAAAACAAAACAAAAAAAAAAAAACTTTTATTTACGTTTAAGTCAACATTTTCTAATTCTTGAAAGGATGTAAAGAAATTGACAATTGAATGAATTACGTGATTCTTTTACCTTTTTTCCTTTTTTTTTCCTTTTTTTTCGTCCTTTTTTTTTGGACTTCAATGGATACTACATTGTCCTCTTTTCCTTTAAACCCACGTAATTAATTTTTGTAGGAGAAAATTATTTTCATTTATACAACGATAATAATTTAATTATCGAATGCGACGATACGAAAAATTTTAAATCGTTTTCGTGACGTTTTATTCTTTTACTCTATGAAATTTCCGATTATTTCTCTATGGAAAAACAAAAATAAACAAAAAAATAAACAAAAAAATAAACAAAAATAAAAAAATTTTATATGCGCGCTATGAAAAATTTTCAATGAAAAAAAAAATTTCGAAATAAATAAATGTCTTAAGGACTTGGCGCCATTTTTATTATTATTATTATTATTATTATTATCATTCATAAATAGAAAATCAACAAAAGCATTTGTCAGAAATCATTAGGAGAAAAAAAATAAAAAATAAAAATAAATTTTTTTTTACTCCCTAAAGGAAATTTAAATAAATTTTCCGTTTGACGACAGTAAACGTAATTTTCAATTTTTTTTTTTTTTTTTTTTTCGTTCGTTTTTATAAAAAATTTTTTTTTTTTTTTTTTCTAGAAAAATAAAGAAAAACGGTTATTGATTGAATCAGAAATTTCGGGGATTTTTCCATTGGAAAACAGG